GGCGGTTTGCAAAACACGATTCCACAAAATTCACTCAATACAAAATAATTGCAAAGTAGCTTCTGAAAATAATTTTCAACTTTCTGAGATTTCAGTAAAATAATGTTGAGTATTATAAGTACTCGTACAATTATGTGTTACTCGTTAATATAGTATTGGGCTATTTTGATTTTTAATAAAGTGATTTTACTTTAGGTTAAATAATTTATTTAGCCCTTCTAGGCGTTATTTCTGTCACTCCTATTGAATTTGACAGTGATTGTTGAATTTTAGCGTCTTTAGACGGATCTGAATCGCGCGCTGACCCAGTTGTTAGATATTGCAAAAATAATCGAAAATATTTATTTTTACTTTCATGCCGAAGACATCCTTGTTTTATTTTATTACGGTCAAATAATACTTAATATGGTTTTAAAGCAAGTATTTACAAATGTTTTCATTATTTTGTTATTATATTGTTTAAAGTTATTATCACATCTTAGCTTACATTAGAAATTCTTGGTGAGATGGGATGTAACGCGGATTATTATCATCAAGAACTGTATATATATATATATATATATATATATATATATATATATATATATATATATATATATATATATATACAGTTCTTGTACAGTTCTAGTATATATATATATATATATATAGATCAGTTATAAAGAGCCATTAATGGAATATTTTGCAAAAGCTAAACCTATGCTAGCTAATTATTACGACGTTTCATCAGCAACATACTTAGTTTTGGATAAAACAAACCTTGTCAATTTCAAAGAAACACGACTTAGTTCATATTGAAAGAAATGCAAGTCATTACAAGATTTCTATGTAAAGTCCAAATTTTCATTTTAATTAATTTAAATCGAGACTAAAATAAATGTGACGGGGATTTTATCTGCAATAATAATTTTCATCAAAAATAACATAAACTTATAAAAGTCATACACACGGTCAATTATACTGAAGATGATCAATTTTACTACAAAATATTTAAATGGCTTTTTCTAGTATAATGACCCAAATATCATCATTAATGTTTGACTGGCACACTTAAAAGTTTTATCAGATGGCTAAATGATTGACTATTATATTATGATAAGATCATGCTTTTTTATAAAAAGCTGCAAGAAATTTTAAATCACGGACCTATTGGTTTGTTTTATTTTTCACTTAATTAGTGAAAAACAAAGTGGACTGATCTAAAAGCTTACTTTCTTGTGTAAAAAGTGCTATTTAGAATTTTATGCAGATGATAAATAAAGTTTCTATGTAAATAAGTGTAACATAGCAGGTGTTATATTTATTGATAGCGGCCATCAATATTTGGAACAGTTTTCTGCAGCACTACGCCTGTGAATTATTTCAAATAAGAAATAGCAAAGCCAGCATCATTTTCTGTACAGAAACCGGCAGTTTTCCTCAAGGCACTATGAACAAACCACATGATAAAAATGTTACACTCATAACGGTTAACAAAAATTGTTATTGCAAATGGTCTCATAGATAAAAACTATTCCGCCGTGTCAGGTGCAGGAGCTATTATTAGAAGGAGAAAAGGTAAAATTTTGTTTTACAGATGGGCAATCAATATTGTTTTATCTGAAATTGTGCATAAAATAGAAAATAACTTCAGCCAAAGAGCACAACTGGTATTATACTCAGGCCCATTAATTGGTAAGGAAAAAATAATTTTACCAGGTTTCAAAAAATAAATCAAAATTTAAAAAAAAAAACATAAATATTAAAATAAAAAAATTTATATCTGTACGTAATACATAATAGAATGGTTTATAGCCGCTTCGTATCTGACGGTGACTCATTATAACATTCTACATTCACGCCGAAACTAAGAGGAGAGAATCATTGTAGTAAACGTAATAATTTATTGCGGAAATTTTGTGATAAAATTAAAAAAAAATATAAACTTATCCAAGATACCGTATGCGTTACAAAAAAATATCTCTAACCAATAAATAAAATTGAAGTGTCGGTTTGTAATGTCAAACTTAGAGCTTTTTACTAAATAGATATGAAAGTATATACGGTACTAATAACAAAAATACAATTTTTAAAGTTTTTGTCTGTCTGCCTGCCTGTCTGTCTGTCCTTCTGTCTGTCTGTTTGTTCCAGCTAATCTCCGAAACGGCTGGACCGATTTTGACGGGATTTCCACTGTCAGATAGTTGATGTCACAAGTAGTAACTTAGGCTAGTTTTATTTTGGAAAAAGAATCAGGGTTCCGCGCAAAAAATTAAAACCACAAATAACACGCGGGCGAAGTCGCGGGAAACAGCTAGTAACAAATAATAAAGTAATGAGATAGCGTCAGTTTTTAAGAAGATATAACAAAGAGAAACAAAAAAAAAATTCAAAAAAGTTCAGGATCTAATTGACAATATACAGCTGATACTTAATCACGCTTTTGGAAACCACGCCAGTTGTAAACAATACTTGTGTGAAAAATGGTGTACACAAGATAATTAAGAACAGACAAAATCTTTCTTTTCAAATTTCCGCCGAGCTGTAAGTAGAAGGCCAAATAGGTCATGTGGCAATTTTAATTAAATATATTTTATATGAAGTGATCTTGACTAACAGGAATTATATAATTGTGTTTACAAGAAACACTATCAGTTGAAACTTGCAGCTTGTTCATTATTTTTATTATAAATACCTATAAATAATTATATTATTAATAAATAATTCCCATAATATTTTGTATTATTTTTATTTTGCCCTATCTGAAACGTTCTACGCTATATAAAAAATGTGGCGTATGAAATGACTGACAATCACTGGAACATTTTATCTAGGTACAAAGATGTTTTACGTTTTCGTGGCCTCCATATGATATTTTTGTCAGCATTAGGTACCCTTCTGTATCTAAAACGAATATGAATATTGCTACAAAAGCAAAGTAACAGACAATAAAAGTCCGTCTACTGGGCACAGGACTCTTCTTATTTCTGAGAGGGTTTAGGGCAAGGAAATGTCCGCCGCGCTGTCCCAATGCGTTGTGTTGGCGAAAATTGCAATTACAAATTTCATTGGTGCTGCCGGGGATCAAACCCGGGCAAAATTTACAGCGAATGCTTAGACCCAGAGCTACTAATACGACAAAAATAAATGCGATTCAACAAATATAATAAAAACTTTTACGTACTTAAAACTTAAACATTTGATAGCTCGTAATGCCTAACAGACGAAGCTACAGCAGCACACCGTGCAATATAATTGAAGATGGTTAACCGCGACATGATTCTCAGTGCTGGCAGTATATCACTTTTATACTTGTCACCTCTACAATCTATTTATCTTTGCACTTTTCTAAGTAATACAGAAAGTAGTCGCTAGACGGTGTTGACGTCGGTTAAAATATCTGTGAACGCCGTTTCGTCTTCGGCTTATTAAAGCTTTAATATGTTTGCCATCAATTGCGCCAATTATGTTAGGAAAATTTGTCCTTTGGTAAAACTGATTAGAAATAATCAGCCAATGTTATTCAGTCTTTTCAGGTATAGTGGATGTAATTCCAGATTTCGGTACTTTGTTTCGGTAATTTCTTGTGTTTTGGTAGCACCTAATAAATATTCGAATGATATGCTGTAGAAACTGGCGCCGGTAGCAAGATATCTGAAACAAACAAACTTGTAAATTGATATCGTATTAGTCAGGCCGCGATTTGAACGATAGCGGGCAGCGGAGCGGCGGCGGGCGCATCCATACAAAATCTATGTAAAGGATCAAGCTGCGTTGTGGCTACGTGAAGACTTTGTACGGCGCCCCCACCTACGCCGCTGTAGCCGCTGCTCGCTGTCGTCCAGACTGCCGCGTTGTTTTTATTTATTTTTTTTACTCACATGCACAAACTTCTCTTTATAAATTTAAAAAAGTTACAGTCTATATACGTCCCACTACTGGGCAAAGGCCTCCTCTTATTTCTGAAAGGGTTTTAGGACAAAGAAATGTTTGCCACGCTGCCCCAATGCGTGTTTGCAAACTTCACATGTCTTCGAAATATTTTTTCTTTTTTCTTAGAAATGCAGGTTTCCTCACAATGTTTTCCTTCACCGCCGATCACATGGTAAATCAAATGATTAATAAACTAATAAATTAATAAATTTGTACAAAAATTTAAGAGTGTGTATTCACGTGAGCTATGCAAGCAAAAATCTACATAGTCTACTTAGGCCGCTAAAAGAAGAAGAAAGTACAAACACTTTGACCAACTTTTATTCCTTGTCCCAAGCATGGACACTCGAGAGACCTCAGGAAACGCAGAGAATATTGACTGCGAAGAAGATAGTAGGGATGTTTATGCAGATATACCACAGTGAATCCAATATTCCCGAAAGAAAAATACGAAGAAAGGCTTCTAAACATTTTAGATAAAAAAAGGTTGACGATAAAAAGTTTATTGAGGCTGTGAGGAATAATAAAAGCAATTGTGATGACGAAAACAGGGAAAAGCATTTTGCGCTATCCTTGGTGCCATTGTTAAAAGCAGCCCCGGAGGAGAATAAATTAGAAGTACAGATCAAAATTTAAAAAAAATTCAAGACGTTCAGAAGCCAATCTTCCACAGAGCCCAGCAAAATTATTCTCCTAAGTATAGTCCATCTACAAGTTACATAGGAAGTCCTCAAACTTTCCAAATAAACCCCTTCTGTCTCTCTACCTCGGCCGAGTCATCATTCATCTCCTTCTCCTATGTATATTATATCTACAAGTCCTCAAAATTTACAAATCAACCCCAAGTATTCTGTCTCCTTACCACCGCCACTGCCAAGTCCCCAAAACCAATTTCACATAGCTGAAGACTAATATATTTCAAAGTTTGCAGCTAACTCTAATGAAGATTCCGAAGTTTATGACATTTGCCAGGAGTACAATATCAGCTCGGGAAATCATTAAAATAATACTTACTTTTGTAACTAAAACCATTTTGTATTTTGATTGAAATAAACATAATTTTTTTTTTAATTACATGAAAGTTACAGCTAGTCTTTCTTCAGTTGGGACAATCTCATGTTTGTATTTTTGTATGTTAATGCAGGTCCTAAAGTGCGAAGTAATTCATCAAAACTTCTAACACTCATTCGGAAATATCGAAAAACTTTATTTGGATATTCTCGAAACTTATAAAACATAGTGTAGAACTTTCCACTTAATAGCCTCTCATTCCAAAGGGGGTGTACCCAGTATTTTTTCGCTTTTTTTTCTCCTGAGTCTGATGAGTTCACGGACAACGACCGTCTCTTCGAAATCCATATCGGCAAATGACGCTTCGATTTCAAAAAAGTATTGTCACTGTCACCAGATCAACTCTCGCAATTAGAACTACCAGTTAAGTGTTAATAACAAATTAACTGAATGAGATCAGGACGTTGCAATGGTTTTTGAGAAATATTTTACTGATATTCCGATCTTAACCACTAAGTCATTGAATTCTTCTCCTGCCGTCGCCGAATCATTACTTAAACAAAATGTGAACGCGTGTACAAAGAATTTTAGATTTCATAAAGTATCATCGAAAGATATTTTAAATTTTTTAAAACTATTGATATTAAGAAAAGTGCGGATCTGTAGGGGATTTCCATCAAAGTTATTGCGTCTATAATAGATACAATCGCGCCTCATGTAACTATTATTTTTAATACTAATATTGAATCTGGTGTGTTTCCTGATTTAATGAAGCATAATAAAGTAATATGTACCTTTATTTAAATCTGGTAGTACATTAGACCCCGCCAATTTTAGATCTATTTCTGTACTACCAACATTTAGTAAGATTTTAGAAAAACTTATTCTGGATTAAATGTTAAATTTCTTTAATATAAATAATTTACTTCATAAAAATCAATTTGGTTTCACAAGGGCTCGCTCGATAACTGATGCCGGTGTTGAGCTGATTAAATTTATCCTTAATGCCTGGCAGAATTCACAGGATGCTTTGGGTATATTCTGTGACCTATCCAAGGCCTTCGATTGTGTTCACCATGAAACATTAATCTTCAACACTACGGTGTAAGAAGTGATGTGAAGTGATCTTAAATTAATTATTTCATATTTAATTAACAGGATGGAAAAAGTTTTCATTAACAGTATGAGCTCTTCCGAGTCGATGGTACAAATGGGCGTGCCTCAAGGCTCAATTCTCGGCCCTTTTCTATTTCTTGTATACATTAATGACTACGTAAATTGTACGTACAAACATGACGAAGTAAATAATGCTATATCTAAATTAATAAATTGGTTTAATGTTAATCATTTGCATTTAAATGGCACTAAAACGAAATGTATGAAATTCATGACTCCAAATGTCAAACAATTAAATACTAATGTAATTTTAAATGAGGAGGAACTGAGTCTTGTAGATACCACCATTTTCTCATGGAATCACACTAGGCGCGAAGCTTCAATATAGCCCCCATATATCAAAACTAGCAAGCAGACTTAGTTCTGCAGTATATGCTGTAAAAAAGATTAGAAGTCTAACCAGTGTTGAAACAGCTAGACTGGTTTACTTTAGCTATTTCCATAGCATAATGTCGTATGGTATTTTGCTATGGGGACACGCAGCTGACACTGAAATTATATTTGTTTTACAGAAGAGGGCCATAAGAGCAATTTATGATTTAAAGCCTAAAGAGTCGCTGCGACAAAAATTTAAGGAAATTAATATATTAACTTTGGCCTCTCAATACATTTATCAAAATGTAATATACGTACACAAAAATAAAAGCAGTTTTACAAAAATAAGCGATATTGATTCTGTAAATACTAGGAACAGACACAAGCTAATAGTACCAATTACTCGACTCCATCGAGTCAGTAATTCATTCTTAGGGTGATGTATACGCTTTTACTACAAAATTCCAGAAAATATACAAAATTTGACCTGCTCAAAGTTCAAAAACTTTATTAAACTAAGTTTGTATAAAAAGGGTATAAAAAACCCCTGGGAATGAGGTGATCGCTATCAAGCTATTTCTAATTTGTTGTGTTGTTAATTGTTTAACATACATTGTAAGCTGTTATTTAAAAAAAGTCCCGCTGGGTTTCTTGCTGGTTCTTCCCAGGACAGAGGTTTTTTTCGAACCAGTGGTAATTAATCAAAAGAGTGATTTTCAATAACTATTATTTATAATCTATATTGAATAATAAAGTTTCTGTTTCTGTTACACCCTTCGTGAGCGCACTCTGATTTGGAAACGTGACGTGACAATGACAAAAACTTTAGTGTCTTGGTGACAAAAATCACCAGTGCGCGCTACGTCAGTCAGTGACCTTAGAGTATAAATAAGCAAGCTGAGAGGTATGGGGCGCGGGTATCACTAATTGCCCGTTATGCTAAGCTATAAGTTGAATATAGCCGTGTAGTGGCGGTTAAGAATACCACATATCTTCCCGGGGGTGTGGTAAGAGGCGACAGGAGGAAACAGGCAGGAGATGGGCAGTAGCATGATACTGATTACACCAAGATTACAATAAAAAAAACAGCGTTTGCCAACCCGCTCACCAAGCGTGGCAACTATGGCTAATATCCCCCATGAAATTAAAGTTGCGAAGAGGTAGCCCTCAGTCCCGGGTGGCCTCGCTATTCCGGGCTACGGTGGCGACCATGGTAACGGCGGGGTAGGGGGTGCTAAGAATTTTGGGTGGAGTTTCGGTTGCCACCTAAGATGACTCGACCTGGCAACATACGACGCACACACCCTGAGGACTGACGAGAAGATCCTGGAGCTGGAAGAAGAGATAAAAAAGTTACGGTGACATATTATAGGATTATCCGAGGTCCAAAGAGAGGTGGAGGACACGGTATTCCTCGTATCCGGCAACTTATTCTATCACCGAGAGGGTGACCATCTGTCCCAAGGAGGTGTCGGATTTATCGTCCAAAAGTCTCTCGTTAACAACGTTGTAAATATTGTGAGTGAGTCGACGAGGTAAACGGTAACAAACGGTATTCGTTTAAGATCATACAGGTTTACGCACCAACCTCGGCATATCCCGATGAGGAAATGTATGAGGATATCTCTAAAACCATACATTCCTCCAAAACCCACTATACGGTGTTAATGGGAGACTTCAACGCAAAACTAGGCACAAGAGAGAACGGTGAGCTGAAGTGTGGAAAATTCGGAATAGGACAACGGAACCCAAGGGGCCTGCAGCTGGCCGACTTCAAGGAGAATGAGGGACTCTTTATGATGAACTCTTTCTTCCAGAAGCGGTCCCATAGAAAGTGAAGAGCCCCGATGGTTCGACAAAAAATGAGGTTTACTTCATTATGACGACCACACGACAACTGTTCAGTTATGTCTCACTGATCGCGAGGATGAAAACTGATGCGATCACCGAATGGTTAGAGGCACACTGAACCTAAACGTTAAGTTGAAGAGATCTCGTCTAATGAAGTCAACGCTCCACCCCCCTCGTGCTCTAATCCAAAGTCCCGAAACCTTTCAGCTCGAGTTACAAAACTGTTTTCAGTACCTAGAATATTGCAATGTAGTGGACGATTTAAATGACAAGCTCGTGGAAACTGTCCATGCGGTCGGAGCTAAGTTTTGCAAGACCTGCCGCAGAAGAACACATAAACTCTTTGATCACACTCTTAATCTTATGGCTATTAGACGGGAAATGAAACTGCAGTCTTCAATAGATTTGACAGCATACCGGGAACTGAACAGACAGATCTCCAAATGCATGAGGCGGGACTTACACAACTTTAATACAGCTTGTATTGAAGGACCCATCGAGCGGAACCAAGGCTCCAGTCTTTGCCAGAGATATGTCTGACAGGAAGAGCCAACAGTAAAAACAGAAGACCGAGTGTAGCAGCGGGATAGCTGAGATTTTGAATGAGATTGAGAGGTTCTATGGACAGCTGTACACGCCATCGTTAGCCACACGCATGTGTGAGTAATCCAAGAGAAAATATTATTCGTCACTATTTCGATGATATCCCGGAGGTCCGTCTGTGCGATATTAGAATGGCTCTCCAGCGCTTTAAAAACGGCAAGGCCCCAGGCGAGGATGGAATTACAGCGCAAATTCTGAAAGCGGGTGGAAAACCGATACTTGTAGTCATTCAGAAGCTCTTTAATTCCGTCCTCCATGGTGGCACTATACCGGAGGAGTGGAGCAGAAATGCTGTGGTCTTGTTCTTCAAGAAAGGTGACAACGCTCTCTTGAAGAACAACAGGCCGATTTCCCTCCTGAACCGCGTCTACGTGCTGTTTAATAATAAAACTATTTAACAAATGTTTTGTTTAATTTGTCTTCACCTATTGTGACAACTCTACCAAAATAGGTAACAATTTTGCATGTTCTTAAAAAGCTTTGTCTCTGTTCCGTTTATCTACTCATGTGACAGCAGCATTAAGCTGCAATTTTACGCTGGTATTCTGTGAGAGCGTGTTCATACCACGGTCGAGCCGACCCATTCGTTCTACAACCATAATGTAGTGTGGATCTACCACATACTTTACTTTAAATTTAAGCTTTGGTAATGCACTTCCAACCAGATTGCGCAGTCCACCCTTGCTTTCACAAATGTACGAAGCACTAAATTGGATGAAACAATCGAAATTCCTGATGTTAAGCTCCCAGTTAGGTTTTTTTATTGCTACCATCCATTTATTTGCCAATTCACGGATTTTCGAAAATCATTATAATAATATTAGTATTTAAACCGTATTTATCTTTATTATGTACCTATAAAAAAGTTTACAAAAGTTTTATTTTAGATATTGATCCAAATGGGCTAGGAAAAATATTCGAGTATAACGTGGCTCTAGCTAGTGATGAGCTCTAATTCGGGGAAAACCCGAAGTGCGAGGCTTGGGTTTGTATTCTGTGGCCACGGCCACGCGCCTAAGTAATTTAGTTAAAATCAGTGTTTTCTATCGAAATATTACATACCGATGAAAAGAAATATCATTGGTCTTCTTAGTTTGCTTCTGTGAATCGTTTTTACAGCTTAGCACCGCACATTTTACCATGATAACTTAAAATTCAAATAAATATCGTTGAGAGAAACAGTTAACGCGCGTGACCTTTTGTGACTAATAAGTTAGTAGTAGTAGTAGTAGTTGCTGTTGTTGTTGTTGTTTATACTCGTGCTTACCGTTCATACTCGCAAATGCGCGCTCTATAGCTTGCTTATAAATACTCTAAAGGCGTCACCAGATTTTAATTGACATATCTATAAACAGAGCAGCAAAATATACCAAATTTTTTAACTACAAACCAAAAGAAAAATTCTTTATCAGCCTATAGAAATCCACAGTTAGATATAGGACGTTCCCGTTGTGAGAAAGGTTAGTCTTAACCGTCAAGTTTGGCAGGCGGATTCAAGATCGCTATATCACGTGTCGCGTCCTTCACGCTGCTGCCGTTCCTCAACGTTCTTGCTACTTTACATCACATAAGTTATAGCACCATGTATCGGAGGTCGTAACTGGGTACGTGACCCAATCGTGTGATACGTTCTCATACGCTGCCACCACATGGCAAATCACGGTAAATTCTATCTCATATAATGAAAACTCATGATAAGTCAAGAGGAGTTAGGTAGATTATTAGGAGTAACTCAACAAGCAATTTCGAAAAACCTCAAGTTGAAAGCGAGACATGCTAAACGGCGTTTGTTTGCTTGTGAACAGTTGCTTGAAAGGAAAAAATGGAAAGGATTTTCTGCATCGCATTGTATCCGATGACGAAAAATAGGTTTATTAGGATAACTCTAAGCGTAGAAACTGAGCCATGCTTCCACACTTTTGGCCAAACCGAATATTAACGGCTCCAAAGTCATGCTCCATCATGAGTTGTTAAAACCATCTGAAATAATCACAGGTAGATAATCTAGCAGTTGGAAAACGAATGTACTTGTGCAGAGCAACGGCGGGGGCTTTACGGGGCAAAGGGTGGCGCAACCTTGTGCCAGCACACTTCACTGAGTCTGCTGTACAATACATGCTTTTGGCGTGAGCGTGTTTTATAATGCTTATCTAACTAATTTTAAGTGCTGTTTTTGTAAAATATAATTGTGAAATACTGTTATACTTATATGAGTTAAGCTAAGCTAGGTAAAATAGCCAAACTAAGTCAAACTAACTTAGTTGTGTAAGCTTATCCGAAACTACGCGAACTAAGCGCTTTTCGCTTAGTGTTGTTTGTTTTAGCTAAATTAATAGAATCAGGCGTTAGTTTGCTAATCCATTATATCAAAATCGGAAAAATTTACTTTGCCAAATCCGCTCAGTAAAAAAGCAGATTGTCGATGAGGATAATGTTTCAAAGCGCACAAATTAGACACAATAACTTGAGCTCTGTCTCGCCAGCAATACAGTCGGGAATTTGCATTTATAAAAGGCCAAAATTAGGCGCTTTTTAGGTGCTAATTAGGTGCCAAGTTTAAAAATTAGGTGTTCTAAAATTTTCACCGCAACGATTTGTTGAAATTTGCGTTGCTGGCATAACGTATCGCTAAGGGCTCTGGGGGTTTTTCCTCATCGGTTGTTGGTTCTTCAAGCTATATGGCCGACCCATTGCCACTTCAGCTTACTAATCCGTCCGTCCGTTTGCAAATAAATAAATAAATAAAATTCCACTCTCTTTCAAGAAATTCATGCCTAAAAGCGAAAGTCATTGTCGGTTTTCCTTTATCTGTTGATAAATTAGTGAGACTAGAAACGTATGAGAAAACAAATAATTTCTAGAATACTAAAACACTTTGAAACTTTTTAAGTTATTTATTTGTATGAATATACTTAAAGTAACTAAGTAACATTAATTTATCTACAATGGCAGTGCTTACAACAATATTTATATTAAATTTGTCGACTTTGCTACCCAATTTTGTAAAAAATAATATTATGACAGGCTTATTCCAAAAACTACCGTAATAAGCAAAATACTAGTACTTACTTAATTTATTACGCAAACTATTTTTGATATATATCTGCATGAACAAAAAGGCTTTAATATATTAAAGATATGTTAACTGGATATATTAATTTATCACACGAGCTTATATAAACTTAGTACGCTCGCAAAACTGTTTAAAGTGACTAGTGAAGAAACTGAACTTAAATAATATTAAAATCTATCAAACGTATGGCTTTGAAGTTCTAGGCTGATTTATTTTTAATGTTAACATAAAATATTTAAGCATTAAAGTAATAATTTGCCAAATCGCGATGGTAAAACCTTGTTTTTATAAAATTTAAATACTCTGTTACTTATTATATGAAAATCTTATCTATAAATTACTTTGGTGTACATTTACTTTATATAAAATAAACCAGTAAGTAAAGGAACTGCATTTTTACCATTCCGAACCTATATTATATAATTATGTGGTAATTATTTCATTTACATTTGCAATTTTATTATTATCGATTACAATAAAGTACTAATAAAATATATAGTACCTATTTATAACTTCTATTATATTTAATCGATGTTTATTTTTGTTTAATTTATTTTGCACAAAAATTACTTTTATTAATTAGTAATGGTATGAGGAGTATGCTAAACTGTATTTTTGATACAAACTGAGCACCTCGACACTCTTTCTAATAGCCGTCCAGATTTTAATGTCTCACGTTCAGGCATTGAAAACTGTTTGTTGTCTTCGATAGTTGTAAGCCAGAAACTAAGCTTGTTAGCGAAATGGTGACAGGTACCACCCTCTCCATTACATTCGATGAAAGGCGTTGCTCGGAAATCTTCAAGGCACGATCCAGGGCTCGCCAAAGCTTGGCCGCCACCTTGACCTCCAGCCCCCGTGTGCTAATAATAAAATTTATTATAGTTAATTTCGTAATAATAAATAAAGAAAAATATGTGATACATAAATAAATAAAAAACTAACCATTACAAAACTGTATCCGATCCATAGTTCTCGCCATCCTACTGGACAGCTGGGGATATCAAGTGTTTGACTATGAACGGCTATAACATTTGCTGGAACTTCGCAAACCACGCATCTAGATATATATCGCATGATTTCATTGCCTTCCACTGGCATCATTGGAATAGGTTGACCTGTTGATAACCAGTAACTTCGGTCGTTTCGGCTAGCATAGTTGCAAACATCATTTAGATCGCAAAATAGGAACGGCATAGTGCTGAATTTTCTCACACATGAACCGGCGTATCCAAGATCTTGATTATGAGCTTTTTCGTTACCATCTATGTATAGTAAAGAATATCCATCCCATAACTTAACGTGGCCAGCCTCACACTGTGGTACTGCATCACTCTGACTATGTCTCACAAGAAGTATTCCTGTCAAATAATCGGTCGTGACGCAGGGTGCTCCAGGATTTCCAGGAACACCAGGTAGTCCAGTACGCCCTGTTTCACCTCTTTCGCCTTGTAGCCCTTGTAAACCTTGAGGACCAGGTAATCCTGGTGGTCCTTGTGGTCCTGGGTAACCACGGTCACCCTTCATACCCGGACTACCATCTAAACCTGGTGCGCCAGGCTTTCCAGCCATTCCTGGTAGACCATCCAAACCAGGTGGACCACGTGGTCCTGGTTCACCTTTGGGACCAAAAACGAACTGACCTGCTTCTCCTTTGTCACCTTTTTCGCCTGTTATTCCAATGAGACCCGGTTGACCAGGGAAGCCTCGGTCACCCTTTTCACCTTGTAAGCCCATTGGTCCTGGCTGACCATTTCGACCATCGAAACCTCTATCTCCCTTATCCCCTTTTTGTCCTACCTGTCCAGGCATACCTTGCGGTCCTTGATCTCCTTTTTGACCAGGTAAACCGAAACCAGGAGCTCCTCTTTCACCCTTGTCTCCCTTTGCACCTTCTATGCCAGGTAATCCAGGTAAGCCAGGTGATCCATCAAAACCGGGTGGACCAGCAAGTCCTTCACGTCCCTGATCGCCCTTTTCTCCTCGTGGTCCGGGGGGAGCAGATATACCAGGAGGACCCATTTCACCCGGAAGACCTGGCAGTCCTTGATCACCCTTTTCTCCAGGGGCACCTTGCGGCCCAGTACGGCCATGTTTACCAGGTGCTCCGGGTAGTCCTTTTTCTCCTTTAATTGTAAGCCCAGGAATACCTGAAGGACCAATAGGACCCCTATCACCTGTAATGAAAAAGAAGAAATTTTGTAAAAGCAAATCTAACAAGTATAAATTTTCCTCAACTGAACACACACTATTATATAACTAACAAGTTTCTGGCGACTGGCTGATGGCGGTATATTCATTCGAGAATACGTCCCCAAATCCCTTTTAAAATATAGTGCAATATTTCGGCTCTGCGCTTTTTAACACATCCTTTCTGAGTGGTGAGTACTAGGTAAAACTTTTAGAATGTAGTCTACGTATATTTGGAGCTTTATCAAAAGGTTATGAATGGAGAATGGAGGTATCCATGCAGCAGTGGAAAAGACAGGCGGATAACATAATCGTATAAGACGAAGATAAGCATTATTTTACCTACCTACGTCTCTACGTATATATGTCATGGTCTTTGTTAATTAGTAACAGTAATTTATTTAAGGTATTTAAGTTTCTTAATTTGCATTTAAACCTGAACGAGAAATTGTCATGTTTGTGTAACCAATACACTGACAAATATCAATTCTACAAGGGTGATTTATTGGT